GCTGTTTAACTTTTGCATGCATATGAAGTTATTGAAAATACCATGGCTTGAGTCAGGTGCACATTAGTCCTCAAACTGACAGTTCTTCAACACTTCAAAGAGGTCTAAAGCAGTCACTGGAGAAATATATCATGTTTGGTAAGGTGCAGGGTCAGAGATAAAGAGGAAGAACCCCAGAGAGATGGATTGGCAAAGTGGCGGCATCAATGGGCTCAAGAGTGGCAACAATTGTGAGGTTGCCCCAAGACCAGGCAGTGTTTTGTTCTGTCGTGCATAGGGTCGCTATGAGTTGGTACCGACTCATGGCACCTAACAACAACAACAAAGAGAGGGTTAGAGCAATGAAAACAGCACCTTCAGAAGTGTATAGCTTCACAGTTTGATATTTTTTGTTTAATAAAAGGCTCTATGATTTTGTTAAGGACCTCAGGTAGCATAGTGGTTACGAATCGGGCTGTGAACCTTGAGGTCAGTAGCTCGAAACTACCAGCTGTTCCATGGGAGAAAGATGAGGTTTTCTGCTCCTGTAAAGATTTACAGCCTCGGAAACCCTGTACAGGGTTGCTAGGAGTCGGAAACGACTCCACGGCACATAACAACGATTTTGTTACAGTACTTTTTGACTTATCTTCGTATCAGAATGTTTTCTCTCTTCCCTTTATGAATACAAAATTTCTAGCCTGCAACATCCAGGCCTTTTAAAATCCACTACTGCTCTAGGTTGTGACTGTCTTCCCATGGCCAGGCACTGAACATGGTGACATACCATCCACGTCTTCAGCTTGTTCCAGAACACTTTGAATTCACCAAATTCTAATTTTCCATTGCCACTAGTCTGTGTCCACGTAGTTAAGGAAAACATGAGCAGTGTTTCAACCAAAAGGAACTCATGGAAACCACAGATGTTGAGATTTTCAGGAGCTTTCTGGGACAGCATCTTGTTGTTAACTGCCAATCCCAACTCATAGCGACCCAATGCACAATGGGATTGGACTGCGGCGATCCATTAGGGTTTTCACTGACTGATTTTCAGAAGTAGATTGCCAGGACTTTCTTCCTGGTTTCATCTGAGTTTGGAAGCTCTGCTGAAATCTGTTCAGATCCTAGCAACAAAGCAAGCCTCCAGTGACAGAGGAGATGGTGGCTGCACAGAAGGTGCACTGACTGGGAATCAGACCCACATCTCCGGCACAGAAAGAGAGAATTTTACCACCGACTCACCACTGGCACAGGTGTTGGGATACTGGTGGTTTCAATTCTTAAACCACAAGTCTCTGAAGAAGAAAAATGGCAGGGGTGAAATGGGGGAGGTATTGGAACGGCCTCAAAAACTCAGAGCTTCTCATTGCTTTGGATAGGGCCCCAAAGTGGAACAAGATCTCAAGTCTTGCCCGCTTCTCTCTCAATTCTGTTCCTAATTCTAGCCCTAGAGTGCTCCATGTCTTTAATTCTCTAGGAAGACTACCTTAGTGGTTAAGGATGCGGCATTTTAGGATAATCTGCATCATGGGAAAACACTCTCGTATGCACATTGACATGTACTTTGGCCCAAGTACTTGGAAGGATACATCCATTAGAGAAATGATGTTTTTACAGGAAATCAGGCTCAGCTTCTTGAACTTGATGTCCTTTCCTGAAATTACACAGGAAAGCAGAATCCATTTGACTTCTGAGACCAATACATCCCATCATCTCATCTGCTGAAGGCCAATCAGTGTGGCCAGGCCCTGCCCCACAGCCTTCTGGGAGGAAACAATTACAAAATGTGGAAAAAGCATTTAAAACTGTGAATATTTTTTCATCCATTTATTCTAATTTTAATAATCCCAAACAATAGGCACATAAAGAATTTGAAACGAGGACTTTTGTTATTAGGTTACTTAAAATGGTAAAAATTAGAAATTATATAAATGACCAATGGAAGGACTGAGCCAATAAATTATAATATCCACATAATGTCTTACCGCATAATTTTTGGGAAGATAGCTAGCAACCCAGGGAACTGCTCATAAAAGTTAAAAAAGAAACAAACAGAGAGAATGGAAGCAAATGCTGTTGAATGGTGATGCATGGAGGGATTGTAATCATTGCAACGAAACGAAATACAATAGGATGAATGTAAAGTTGATGTTCTCCCATGTAAGCTATCACTCAGTTCACAATAAAAACTTAAAAAAAAAAAAGTTAAGCTTAGAAGACAAGATTTTAAACTGTTGGAGAAATGGAAACTCTCACATGTTGCTGGAGGAATACTATAACAACTAAACAGTGCAGTTGCTGTGGAAAACACTCTAGTAGTTACTAAAAAACTAGCCATAGAAATATATAAAGACCCAGCAGTTCCACTCCTAGGTATATACCCAAACGATATTAAAACACAAAGGTCTACACAGATACTTGAACAAATTGAGCAGCATTATTCATAACAGCCCCAAATGGAAACAACCCAAATGCCCATCAATTGATCAATTAAATGTAGTATATTTATATGAGTGGAGTCTTGGTGTGGCGCTGTGGGTTAATGCACCGGACTGCAAAGTCGTTTGACCTGCAAGGTCAGCAGTTCAAGCTCACCAGCTCCTCCTTGGAAACCCTATACAGAGTCCCTATGGGTCAGAACAGACTTAATGGCACTTAACAACAACAACAACATATTTATACAAAAGCGTATTATTCAGCAATAAAAAGAGATCTAATACATATTAAATGAAAATGAACCTTGAAAACATTATGCTGGGGAAAAGAAGTCGGTCATAATCATATACATTGTCTGATTCCACTTTTAATGAAATTAATGAAATAGAGACAGAAAGTAGACCCGGGTCAGTTCTACCTTGTCCTATGGAGTCACTATGAGACTCAGCAATTGTGGGTTTGGTAGTTCTGGGTTGGGATGACTGCCATTGAATATGTTTTTTGGGGGTTGGTAGTGATGAAATGTCCTATAATTGATTATGGTGATAGTTATACAACTCTGTGAAGAGAGTAAAAGCTACTGAATTGTACATTTTAAATGGTGAATAGTATGGTATGTGATTTATATCTTAAAGCTGTTATCTAAAAAAATAAAGGCAAAGAAAATTGCTATCTATAATTTAGTACCACACACGTGTGTGTAGAAACACACAATCACACATATATGTAATATTGTTTATGGGTGGTAAGATTATTGGTGGCCTTTATATTTTTATGGGTGGCCTTAGCCTTTTCTGCATATCTCATTTACTTCCTACAGTGAACCTGTATCATTTTTGTAACCAGAAAATAAACAATGAAAGCTATGTCTAAAGTCTACCTGAAAGCCAGCCCTGGAAAGAAGATCTGAGCTTTGAGGGGTGGGAGGAGACCTGGTGGAGCTGAGGAGGGTATAGGCAACAGATGTGTTACACAGGGCCAAGGATGGGGCAGGTACTTACTTCTTTTCAGCACAGCGTTTAAAACATATTCAAGTTCCTCTGCGTTCACCTCCATGTCCTGTAGAAGTGGAGACAATGGCTTTCCACGGCCCTCAGTACCTGTTGGTTAGCATTTCTGCCCAGTCTGAGTTTCATTGTGTTTAGCAGATGGGCTAGTCCTTAGGATCACGGAGGTGAATGTTGGACTCACTTCGGTTAGCTCCCCAAACCCCTCAAACAAGAGTCACTTGTTGAATTGTCAGGAAACCCCCACCCCTGCTGCACCCAGATGCTTTTTACATGAGAGAAAGTATGGGAGAATTTGTTTAAGTATCCAAGACGGGTGGATTACCCAGTAAGCAAGGTGAGCAAAGGTTTACTTATGCTTACCTGATATAGTAAAAGTAGAAAAATCAAGCTTCTAGCATACCTGAATAAGGTAACTTCAGACAGCAATCAAACTCCATTTTAAATTAAGATTTCCATTTCTACCTTTCTAAAGAAAGCCAACCATCCATTTTCCTTGTCAAAGTGTTAAACAGTTTGAATAAAGAAGAAAATAAGCATCAGAATTCCTAATCTGAAGACTTGTTTAGTGTTCGTTAAACTCATCATCTTAACTGCTCCTTGAATCCTCAGGTGAATTTGTCTAAGCTTCCCCAAACCAGGTAGGTCTGATTTTACATGTAAAAGTCTTTGGATTGGAATTAATTTAACCTTCTTTTCTCCTTAGCCAAATAAATTCATTTTTTGTTTCAAGTACTTCAGTGACAGTTGACTTGATCTGCCTATATCAAAATGTCTACATAGTGAGCTTTAGAAATATTGCTTTAGTCAAGTGGTATCAAGA